CACACACACACACACACGCAAGAAATGTCACGAAATTGAGGATTAAACTGATTTAAAAAAATGCACTGGATTTAACTTGGTAAACTCGAGCCCAGGGCCACGGGTGAGAAGGGTTGAGACGACTTCATTTAAAGAACGAGGGGAAAGTGGCAGTGAGAAAGAACAGGTAATGAATGGCCTTTGTACCAGGTGGAGGGAGGAAGAAGCATATAGAAGAATGGTGGTAAACAAGGGGAAAAACGTAGCAAAAGCATTAGGTCTTCCACTGATAGAACTTGCTATGCACAATACACCAGAGACCAAGACGTACATCAACTCAATTTTGAGTATGAAGCGGATGGCTATGTTTACCTGTAATTAAGCCAATCAGGTAAATTAGGATAAGGGAGCAAGTTGCGCGCGTGTGCGTGTGTGTGTTAAGCAGCAAGTGTGTGGGTGATGATGGGGGATCTGCAGGTGTATGGGTGATGCTGGGGGGTTTACAGGTGTGTGGGTGATGGTGGGGGATCTGCAGGTGTATGGGTGATGCTGGGGGTTTACAGGTGTGTGGGTGATGGTGGGGATCTGCAGGTGTATGGGTGATGCTGGGGGTTTACAAGTGTGTGGTGATGATGGGGATCTGCAGGTGTATGGGATGCTGGGGGTTTACAAGTGTGTGGGTGATGATGGGGGATCTGCAGGTGTATGGGTGATGCTGGGGGGTTTACAGGTGTGTGGGTGATGGTGGGGGATCTGCAGGTGTGTGTTAATGAGTCAAGCTATATGATTAGGTAAATACCTGACACACAGTATGTCAAATCGGGGAGTGGCGCCTCAGTGCCTGTTTAGATGTACAGTTGTAGACAAAGAGAATTCGGCAGAGAGGCAGGCAGGGAGGGAGGGAGGTGGTGTTTGGGAGGGTAGGGGTAGGTGGAGACTTGGCACCGTCACATGTAGATTGAATTGAATTGAAACAGTTTGTTTAGCCATAAAAATTCTGCCATTTCTTTCCACACCACAAATTGATTTTTTAGATTAATTATGAGACAGGTGCATGAGCTTACACTCCCTCAGAGCCGAATTCTTTTTGTCCACAGCTGTACACCTTCACTGTATAAAAAATATAGTGGTTATTTATTATACGACCCCATTGTCTGCTTCCAGGGGAAAAAACTATTACCATAAATATAGGTAAGCCCATATATGCATCTTCTGAAATAATGTTTCCTGTGACCTTTAATTTATATTTACTTCAATGTTAGGTGTACGACCTTAGTAATTTCATTGTGTGTGTAAGTGTGTGCGCGCACAGGGTGGTGTAACGCATCTAGCGTGGCAGCAGTATGTTAGCGTTAAGGTGCAAGCACTGCTTGTTTTCTTTCACTTTCAGCTACCGCTGCTGGCTTGCCCTCGTGGCGAACAGGGAAGCAACTTGCATAAGTCCTCCTCTGCCATTACACAGCCTCTTTACCATCAAGACTTCTGTTGTGCCTCTTCGTGGCAACACACGGTAACTGTGAGCCTCGTGGTACCAGGATAGGCCAGCAGGGGATCTCAGAGCAGCAGTGGGTCCCAAAGGGACTGCGCATAGGCCCACCAGCATGTGGACACGTCCTGGCGCCTACCAACCACTGCCCCACTGCCTTGTGGATTAACCTTGGTAGGCATAAGGCTACAGGAGTAAACCCCGATGAAAAATCTGCAGTGGAGCCCCGCATCAGGCAGACATGCTTACAGAGCTTCAACAAGATCCCAACGGCGGTATAGGCAGAAGAGGTAACCAACATGGGAACCCAACGACTACACCGGCGGACGAAGGCAATGTATGATGGACAAGCTACTAAGGTGAAAACCAACATACTTGGATATCGGCAGTTCATTACAACACCTGCACCACTGGATCAGGAAAAGGGAGAGCCAAAATGTGTGGTTGCAGCATGCGCTCCTGCCTCACCACATAAATCAACTCACGCGCAGCCATCATCCAAAGTACTTGTAGTAAGCGTGTGTTGCGTTTGTTTGCTGTGTTAAAAGTGGTCGGGATGGGGGTACCCAGCTCTGTTCTGTGGTAAGAGTCTGTGTTCCTTTACGAGTATACAGTAAGGTGGATGACACACCAAAGTCGCCTTTTCTGTCAGTGTGTTGATCAAACCAGTGTGCCATTTATCTTCGGTATATGTCTGCCTATTAATAGTTCAGTCGCTATATCTATCATATACCACAGGGTAGTGTACTGTACTGGGCCCGTTGTTGTTTGTTTCCTAAAGGACATGGCAGAAGCTCCTCTATACAAATGTTTGCGGACGATGCCAAGTTATTCAGGAAAAATAAGAACCAGACAGGCTGTGAAGAGCTTCAGAAGGATCTCTGTCAGCTTCAAAAGTGGTCGAAGGAATGGTTGTTAGGATTCAATGTCACGCCTAGCGCCCGTTGGCACCAGCCACCACGTAACGTTGTCCTACAGATTTATCTGTTACTTGGTTCACGACAAAACCAGACCAAGGTACAAATATTACAATATAAATTACGACGGGTATAAGAACGCAAACATTACACTGAATATCATAGCCAGTGAAGTGAACCATTTGATCGATAAATACAGGCATATACCCAAGACCAAACCCAGTGCCTCCAGGAATACAAGCTCGTTACACATGAACCATGCAGCGGTCAACAAAGTTAAGAAGAAAACCCAGAAATTCAAGACGTGGGTTAGGACAAACGATGAGCAGGACAGGAGGATGTATGCCAGATTCAGGAACCAAGCAAAGTTAGAGTGGAGAAGAGCTGAAAAGGAGTTCCAGAGGCTGATTGCAAGCGAGGTCAAGTCAAACCCAAAGGCGGTTTACCGCTACACAAGGTCGAAATTAAAAACGCGAGTAGGAGTATAGGACCTGAGGCTTGAAGATAGTAGTTGCGCAGATTCTGACCAAGACAAAGTGGAGGCGTTGAACATTTTCTTTTCCGCGGTGTTCACAAGGGAGGATGCAAACAATCTTTCTGCGTTTGAGGACAGACGGTTCGACACAGCGTTGACCCACATTGTGTTTTCAGAAGAGGTTACATGGACCGTGCATCCCAGAATGTTAAGAGAGTTGTGCAACGAGTTTGCGGAGCCCAGGAAAATCCTGTTTTGTAAATGCTTGGATGAGCAAAACGTACCCAGTGATTGGAAAATGGCTTATGTGAGTCCTATATTCAAGAAGTTGCGATCATCGCTCCACGAATAATTATAGACCAATGAGCCTGACCAGCATAGTATGTAAAGTACTTGACAGCATTATAAGAGATGCCATGATGGAACATCTACTACGAAACAACCTTGTAAATATTGAGAACACGGTATTATGCCGGGCGCTCCTGCTTAACACAATTACTCAATTGGTACTGAATGTTTGGACTCGAATTCTGGAACAGGGTGGCAATATCGACAATATATACCTACAATTTGCCAAGGCTTTCAACAGCGTACCCCATGAAAGGTTGTAAATTAAACTGGAAGGGTACTGGATTCGGGGAAGTGTCCCAGCGTGGATCAGAGACTTTCTCTGTGATCACAAGCAGTGTGTGGTGATTAATGGCACGAAATCGTCATATGTACCCGTGACAAGCGGGGTACCACAGGGCAGTGTATTGGGCCCACTGTTGTTTGTTTGCTTCATATGACATGCCAGAAGCTGCACACACCCCCATACAAATGTTTGCGGACGATGCCAAGTTATTTAGGAAAAAACTACAGAAAGATTTTTGTGAGCTAAGAATGGTCGAAGAAATGGCTGCTAAGATTCAATGTCATTATTTGTAAGAGGATACACCTGGGACGTACCAACGGTAAGAGGCGTAGCATATATCCCAACGGGACGAAGAAACTACATCAATTGAGACAATGCGAAAAGGACCCAAGTGTGTATGTTGACAATGAACTGAAGTTCTAAGACCATTGTGAGAAGGTGAACCAAGCAGCTAAATTATTAGATCTTATAAGAAAATGCTTTCCCGCCTGGATTGCTGTCACCCCGTCTGGTCCCCGAGATATGCTAGGGGCTGTCAATTAATTGAAAATGTCCAAAGGGGGGCCTCAGCTACCCAAAGAGATTAGAGCGCCTGCAATTGCCTAGCTTATACTACAGATGGGCAAGGGGGGGGGACCAAATTGAGGTGTATAAACATCTCAGAGTCGAGTGTTCTTACCTGGAGCTGGCGGACGCTCGCTCCACAAGGGGACACAGCTCAAGATTAAAGAAGTCGCAAGTCCAGAAAACTGTGAGGGCTATCAATTTTTCGGAGTGTGGGTTGTACTCGTGGAACAACCTGCCAGAGAGTGTTGTGACGGCACTGAGTGTGAGCTGTTTCAAGACCAGACTTGATCAGCACTGGAGTAAGTTTAGATACATTCAAGGGCCAGTGTATGCCCAGTAATTGCCAACATACAGTGCATAACAGAGGCGTGACCGATCGCCCAAGCGGCTAAGGAGACGATCTGTGGTGAAGAGGATAAAAGTAAGAGGATGCACCTAGGTAGTACCAGCAGTTAAGGAGGCGTATGACATGTACCAACGGGATGAAGAAACAGCATTAACAGAGGCCGAATATAAAGAGGACCTGGATCTGTATGTGTATCTTAATGTTGGTACAATCTAGGTGCATTGCATCCTCTTGCATTTCGTGACGTTGAATTTTAAGTCTACCAGCTTAAACTGGCTGTGGAATCCCAAACGGCACTGGATTTCAAAATGACCCTAGATAAAACTATCAAGAATAATGGAGGGATCCTACACAGGCCACTGACCACTTTCCCTTCAGCATGGGTGGGTGACCATTAATGGTATTTAAAAAATTCAGCTGACAAACAAATGTTCATGTTAAAATGTATTACTGCGTTTCAGCATTCAAAGGGGATCTTTAGTCGTCTTACGAATTTAATAATTAAACTATTTATTGACACTACAAAATAATATAAGAAATAAATGATAAATGATAAATATAATGGTATAATATAAGGACAGTAAGAATGACGTCACTATATTGATGACGTCACTTGGTGTACAGTGGCAGCCTAGCACGCCGTCTCCTCGTTGATGTATATTGTACTGTATTACTGTTGTATACTCTTAAATATACACCTTAATTACGAGCCATCATCAACATGTCAGCTCTACAAACTTTAATTGAAATGGGCTTCTCGGAGAACAGTGTGTGAGTGTAATAGTTGACACAAGTGTTATTGAGGCTTAATGATTTAGCATATAGTGTTCTGTCCCCTATGTTCTGTCCCCTATATATATATTTATTTATAAAGTCAATAGTACAGTCGTTAATAACAAGGCGATTCAACCAAACACAAGAAAGCCATTATGAGCTTATGTATCATATGTTTCCTATGTGGTCCTTAAATGGTCAATTGATTAAGCAGTGTAACACATCTAAAGGTGGTCATGATTTCACTTTTATTTTGTATGTAACAATTCATACAGAATATACACTGTATTAACATTTACCGAGGATAACATATAAAATATATAAGCAGTCCGACTAATTACCCAAATGTAGTCGCAATGAAGTCAAATGATGGTCCTAGAACCTACATGAATAAATCAGACTGCCAATCACTTCTCGACTAGTATTTGGTGTCAAAAAGTCACAAAAAATTGGAAAACTTACTTTAATCTGAGTTAACAGATTGCGTGCATGTACCGACGGAGCGAGGAATTACCCAAATGTAGCCGCAATGAAGTCAAATGATGGTCGTACAAGCGTAATTCGGGCTGTGAATCACTTCTCGATTATTATTTGGTGTCATAAAGTCTAAAAAAAATTGGTAAACTTAATTTAATCTGAGTTGTGTTGTGTTAGGTTAGGTTAGATTAGATTAGATTAGATTAGATTAGATTAGATTAGGTTAGGTACATGCACTTGATCTATCAACTCAGATTAAATTAAGTTTACCAATTTTTTGTGACTTTGTGACACCAAATACTAGTCGAGGTTAGGTTAGGTTAGGTACATGCACTCCATCTATTAACTCAGATTAAATTAAGTTTACCAATTTTTTGTGACTTTGTGACACCAAATACTAGTCGAGAAGTGATTGGCAGTCCGATTTATTCATCTAGGACCATTATTTGACTTTATTCCGGCTATATTTGGGTACATTTGGGTAATTAGTTGGACCCTATATAAGTAACACTCCGGAACAATATTGCAGGCTAACCAGGAACTGACGAAAAATTTTCAGTAGCAAATATAATGGTTTCTTACTTCATGGAAATTCCATAAAATGAAGAGCATTTGCAGTTAATATATTGTAGTGATCAAGCACAGACCTCTACAGTATAGATATGTATAGGGAGATAGAAAATAAAAATGTACTGTACTGTACTCAAAAGCGTTTTCATTGGAAATTTATATTTTTCGATATTTTCTTACTTGTCGATTTCAAGTTTCGTTCTTTAGGTTCCTTTGTTTTTCTTTTGTCTTGTTGGGTTAGGTTAGACATGTACAGTGCAGTTTACTCACTTTTGAGAGTTGTTAGGTTAAGTTGTTGATAATCTTTTTATCTGGTGAAAATTTCTTTCTTTTACCATTTTGGGATGTTCTTCATAAACTGAAGAACTTCTATTGAAAAATACTTATCTCAGCTCCTTAACCCAGGCAACTGTACTTAGATATTATGGTTTTTAATATTTTCCTGTGATAAATTAGGTTTCATTAGGTCTGATTTCGGCAGGGTTTTTTTTTGCGTGTTTTTACCCCACAGTTTCCCTCTACTTCAAAGCCCTGCCACATGTTGTGTGATCAAAATCGCTTATTTTTAAATAAAGATGTAAAAAAAATCCATTGAAACACTATAAAGTACTGCACTGTACAGTATTCTCATATTTCTTTTTGTGCTATCTCCTTCTGCAACTATACAAAGCAATATAGAGTTCTGTGCTTAGGCACAACCGAATATATGACGGATTTTTAATTTTCTTAACATGATGAGTGTGATTTTTCATCTTGAACACAAATATTTTTAATCTACTGTAATTTTTTGTAAATCACCCGTCACCGATCAGTGGCGAAGAGGATAAAAGAAAGAATATACTTGAATTTAGCGGGGCATTCCAAAAATAAACGAGATATTCGCAAGTCACATGATCAATGGCGGGTGTATGTGCTGGTTGCAGTGAAGGTCATTGATTAGGTTATGGTAAATTTTCAGTATTACATTGGCAGTGACTTCATCCCCCTGGCTAAGGAACACAGCATCATTGGGGGATCCGGGGGGGCGAAGCCCCCTTCAAAGTAGGACTCGACCTGTTAGGTCAGGTTAGGACGTGGCCTGTTAGGATAGATCAGGTAAGGTTAGGATATTACATGGACCTAGTTTAGTCTGAACCTTTTTTCCATGAAAAAATAATTTTTGTTGCTAGTTTTCTTGGTGCTTTAGATTATTGTATTCTGACATTTATTTGGGGGTGAAAATCGCTCGTCCCCCCCTCACCCAACTGCCACCCAAAACCCCGCATTCCAAATGTGGCCCTCTTCATTGTTGGGGTGGAAGGGAGGTGGGAATAACTAAAAAAAAAAAAAAAGTGATTTGCCCCAAAGATAAATGTCAGAATCATCTAAAACAGCAAGAAAGCTTGGAAAAATAAAACAATTTCGTGTGAAAAAAGGTGATAGGTGGTCAACAAAAAATTAATGTACGTACTTTGTTTTGTCCTCTTCGCCCCACACTAGAAGCACCATTACCTCGCTGCAGTGCTTCCAGCATCTTGATTTTTTGCTCCAGTGTAATTGCTTGCCTTGATTTCTTGGTCTTTGGGGTAGTTAATAATTATGTATTAGCTGGCCTCTTGGACATAGTGGCATTGGTTGATGCTTGTGGTAGAAGGGGATAGTATTACACAATATGTCTGTTCACTAGAGCGTCAGCACGAGAACTGAGGATGCGTGAGGGTGTGAGAGGGTGGCGAGCATCTGTGTAGCATGGCCAGAGGCGCATCTGGCAGGAAATATTAGGCCCGAAATTTAAAATTGTGTGTATTTCCATATGATGCGCCAGATAGACTCGCGTAAAATAGGAAAGATTTGCTCTAAATTAATACATTGTCCTTAATTGTGGGTGTCGCTTTAAATAAATAATTTTAAATTGAATCGCTTTAAATCGACGTTCTACTGGTATCCGTGTGTATCACCAGCTAATATTATCATGAAAATTGCTTTGGTACAGTAATATCCTGTTATACCCCACTGCAAGTTAGAAAATACTGTACCAATAGTAATGATTGTTCCACCTTTATTTATTGTTTTATTTATTATTATTTTTTATTCAGTGAAGTCTTATTTTTACCTTTCTTATATCACCTACTGTATCTTTGACTAGGAACCTCATCACTGTATCCTGTAGCTTGTGAGGGTCCATAGTGTTTAGTAACACCTTGCAGCATACTTCCTACTTGAGATGATCTTTTCACTTCCAGAAAGAAGGCACTGTCTGCCACTGGTGGAGGAGGCATAGAACAAGCAATGGAATGGCTCTTGGCACATGCTGATGACCCAGGAATCAATGACCCACCTGCAGAGGAGGCACCTGCTCCTACAACAAGTGAGTGAATTAGATTTTTTTTTTTTTTTGCCCATATTTATGTAGAGGCTCCACAGTACTTGCAACATGCTGATGTATACATTAGTACACTGTATCAGATTTTCCTCTCATATGTACTTCATTATCAGAAAATCTTTGACCAAACACCCTTCTCCTTAGAAAGTATGTAATTTGGTTATCTACCTCAAAAACTAAATTGGTACTACAGTACACTGTACGCTACAATAGTGATATAATTTGTTCCAACCGTTTTGTACTGAACCTGTCGCCTTTCATTTTATAATTCTGCCTCTTGTAAGTCCAATATACATTGGAAATTTTCTTGAGGTAACATTCTCAAATTTTTGTAATGTCCTTTTTATTTTGTGATTCATCCTTTATTATTCCATTTACTGTATTGAAAACCAAAACATTTCCTCTGGTTTATTTCATTAAAAAAAACATCCAGGTTTCTACTTATTTTTATCGCTCCCCTAATGTTCAAGTTTACTGTTAACTTGTCTTAATTCTTTATTGTACTGTACAAACTCATCTGAACTCATGTTTTAACATTCATAACTTTTCTTTTTCATGACAATATTGAACTACCAGTACCTACCATGTACACATTCTGGTACAGTTTCCTTCCTTAACAAGCTGTAATACACTCTTCATCATCCCTATTGAAACTTTAGAAATCATTCAATTATCTTTTATCTATCTCACACCTTGTTAGTACAGTACATGTATTACCCATCTTGATTTTCTCTCCATAAATGCCACAAGTAAAATCTTACCCATTTCTTAAGGGTGAACAGAAATAAAGTCACAGGAAAGAAAAATTCACTATTTTGGCTAGAAAAATAAGTCACTGGAAAAAAGTATAATTATTTCTTGTGACTTTTTCTCTTAGGTTAGGTTGACTTTGAAGGTGATGCTCCTCTACTTATGAACGTGTTATGCCCCTGAGGCCGGTTCATAAGTCCAACTTCACTTTTGTATATACTGAACATATTTTAAATGCCATGGGTTAAAAACCTATGGTTAACCAATTAAATACTTAAAAAGGAAAATACTTAACTCTTAACTCACTTAAAATCTAAAATGAAACAAGAATGTTAACCATAAATTCCACTCATGAACAAATAAAGATGTGACCCAGATGGATTTGTGAAATAAAGAATGTAATAAAATTACTCTGCTTATGGTAGAATAAATCATTTATGTGGGGGGTAGTCAAACATATAGTAATTGTCTTAAACTATAATTAATATTTACAAATAAAGATCAACACACAAGTAAGAAGTTACATAAAAAATAAATCACTGTTTAAAAGAAAAAATTAATAAGAACACTATGATGACCTTCAATAAAAGGCCATAAAAGATCACTGGCCAGGAAGTGTCGTGTCCTAGTATAAATAATCACTGGGAAAGTACACAAAGTAGGACACATAATTGTTACACTAAGCCTGTATCTAAGGCTGATATGTCCGTACAATTAAGAGAATAAGTACTGTACACATAAGAGGACTTGGCATAAGTTAGCTGGCTATGGTGAGACTTGAGGTTGCGCTGTAGAGGAGGAACTGCCACAGGTTGACACGTTGAAGAGAGAAGAACCAAGGGAATCTGCAGAATTCTCAGCTCCCAAGTTGTACTATGGCTTTTATAACCTTGTATTGGGTGGAGCTTGTGGAGGTGGGACTTAACATACCAAACAGTGATTGGCTTCCATGGAGCATCAGCTAAGATATCTGGAAACAAGTTGAAGTGAAGGGGAGACAATGAGAGGAACTGGTTGGTTCTTCTGTTCCACCATTGACTTCTAGATATTTCCATACTAGCAGACAGCGAGCAAGAGGTTGCGTTACATGGAGAAAAGGAAAAAAAATCAAGGATGTACAGTACAGCCTTAAAACCTTGCATACTCTTCTGTTCTTTGGCAATGTATGTTATATCTGGGGGGGGTTCTATGATCATGGCGAGAGAAAGGTTTGACAATAAATAACAATAATTGACCCTCTCGGGTAGATGGATCTGCTGCACGAGGACGATGAGCCAGTATACTGAATGTAGTGGCCGCACTTTACATGTTCATGCATTACATCATATACTCTACTTCTCATTGGCTGAGTATTTCTTGTTTTGCATTCCATTCTTCAATTCTTTAGTATTTCATTGACCAAAGATCAATGACGTCATATAACGCCACTGTTAGAAGTATTATAATATGTCCCTCCACCCTATCCACCTAATCCACCCTCTCCTACCTCCACTGGCAGGGAAGGGGCTAACGTCCGTATTATTAAACAACATCTTCCCTTGAAGAGGGTCGCCATGTTTCAACCCGAGTTTTAAACTAAATTGAGACCTGAGGGACACCGCAGTACAGTACTTAATTGGGTGGTGTGGCGGTAAAATTAACTAATTCCAATATTATAAATTCATTTTATTGGAATTAGTTAATTTTACAGCCACACCACCCCGTTAAGTTCTGTACTGTGGTGTCCCCCAAGACTCATTTAGTTTAAAACTCAGGTTGAAACACGACGACCCTCTTCAAGGGAAGATGTTTAATAATACGGGTGTAAGAAGTTTTCAATACGTATAACTAAGTTTATATAATCATTTTACACTTTCTGATGATCACAATTTATTCTATAACCCATGCCATATTTCATACAGTATTTGTATAGGCAACTCAGTAGGGCGTGTTTGTGTCCCCCAGGAGGTCAGCGCTGTAGGGCATATGTGTATGTCCCCCAGGAGGTCAGGGCTGTAGGACATGTTTGTGTGTCCCCCAGGAGGTCAGGGTTGTAGGGCATGTGTGTCCCCCAGAAGGTCAGGACTGTAGGGCATGTGTGTTTCCCCCAGGAGGTCAGGGTTGTAGGTCATGTGTGTGTACCCCAGGAGGTCAGGGCTGTAGGGCATGTGTGTCCCCCAGGAGGTCAGAGTTGTAGGGCATGTGTGTGTCCCCCTGGAGTTTCAGGGTTGTAGGGCATATGTGTGGTTGTACCCTAGGAGGTCAGGGTTGTAGGTCATGTTTGTGTGCCTCCCAGGAGGAGGACCTGATGATGTATAGGAACATAAAACTCTCCAGTAGTACTGTAGGTATAGATGCATGTTCAAGCAAAAGAGGTTGCAGCTGGAAGAAAATAAAGAGAAAATTTTTGTTAAAGCAACAGTTAGGATCAAAGAAAATAGTGTGAGGAAATGGCTCAAAAATTAAGGAAGAGCAGAGAGGCCTTCCAGCAATAAAATCAGAACCATTTACTCTCCCTGAAAAAATTAGCTGATGCAATTAAAACTAAGAATAAAACCAAACCAAAGGAGTGAATATTACATGGGAGAGAACACTAAATGTTTTGTTTGCATACAGCTCCTCCCCGACTTAGGACGGGGTTAGGGACCCAAATCCAGGTCGTAAGTCGGAAATGCTTAAACAATACAGCTAGACCCCGACTTACGACGGGGTTAGGGACCCAAATCCAGGTCGTAAGTCCGACATAGATAAAAAAAATAAAAAATAAAAATTTTCAAAAAAAAAATTCAATTTTTTTTTTTTTTTTTTTTTTCAAAAAAAATTTAAAAATCTACAATGAAATACAGTACACTAAACGTAAAAAATAATGAGGAATGGATACAGTACAGTAAAAGTAATAAATAATGAGGAATGGATACAGTGTGACTGAGCACTTACCTTAAATGTAGTTAGCTGAATGCACACAGAGCCCCCATAATTTTCTATTTACAGGATACATGGAGACTATATTAATTGGAAGAAGCAGAAGAGGAGACAGGGCTGGGTGGGTCATCAATGTCGCTTCCTTCAGACAGGTTTATGTACTGTGGTAACTTGCTGGTTGAAGGTATTGGATCATCTTGAGGGAGTGAAGAGGCAGCACTGGTGGGGTGTGAGGAGCCAGTACTGGGGGACTTCTTGAAATAGATGCCCAATTTAGACTGCACAGTTTGCTTTTTCTTTTCATTATAAATTTCTCTGTAGCAAGCAAGTGCATCTTGGATCATTCTGTCAACTTTGGCATAACGCTCATAATTTTGATCCATGTCATCAAACATTTGCATTCCTTTATTAATTGTAGCAAATGCCTCTGCCATATGTTTCACTGAAAACTTTTTGGGGGGTGCAGGCTCTTCTTCTACATTTTGTCTCTCTTCTTCCTCTGCAACTTTCTGTGCATCTAGTTCAATAAGATCCTCGTTACTGAGCTCTTCTGCTACACTTTCAACCAACTGTCCAACATCTTCAGTATCAATTTCTAACTCCAGCTGTTTACCTAACTCCACTATCTTGTTACTAATATCCAAAATAACTTCATTTTCATTAAATCCTTTGAAACTGTTCACATATCTTTTCAGGATTTTCTTCCATATTCCATTCATGCAATGTTTTGTAACCTGATCCCATGCTGTACTAATGTTCTTTATACATGACAAAATGTTGTACTCCTTCCAAAACTGTCTGAGCGTTTTCTCACCTTCAGTAGCAGCAACAGCCTGAGCGAAGGTCGTGCGTAAATAATACGCTTTAAAGGCAGCAATAGCACCTTGATCCATGGGTTGGATGATAGAGGTAGTGTTAGGTGGAATGTACACTACCTTAACATCAGGGTGCATGTCGTCCAGGTGTGGTGGGTGTCCCGGAGCATTATCCAAAATCAGTAAAATCTTGAATGGAATCCTTTGTTGCAGACAATACTCCTTGGCTCGTGGAATGAAACAAGTCATGAACCAATCCTCAAACAGTACTAGGGTCATCCAGGCTTTCTTGTTACTGCGATAAAACACTGGCAGTGTGTGCTTGCTGACTTGTTTAAAAGCCCTGGGGTTCTCTGAATGATAGATCATGAAGGGCTTTAGCTTGAAACCAGCAACATTCCCCCCCAACAGAAGTGTAATTCTGTCCTTGAATGCCTTGAATGGGCATTTTTTTTGCCTCTTTGTGGATGTATGTCCGCTCAGGCATGCGTTTCCACAATAATCCAGTCTCATCCACAT